GGCCGGCCCCCGCTCCGCACACCCCAGCGCCCCCGACTGTTTTTCGGCCCTTGCTCTCAGACCCGCAGGACCGAGCTGGTCCAGTGGCCTCCAGGTTCCCGCTTCGGGAAGAGTGTTCGTGAACTCCGCCGGCGCCCCCGGGGTCTCCTGGCTGTAGGGGCGTCGGGAGGTCCTGCCTCGGCGGGTGGTCTGGGCCCGGCCAGCGCGGGGGCACCCGGGGGCGCCTGGGCCCGGGGGGGGGTACGAGCCCCGGGGGCGCCTCACCCCAGGCGCTGCTGACTTTGCTTTGAGGCCACGTCTCTTGCCTCACTTTACCCCATCTGGGCTCATCAGTTACGCACGAATCTCGTTTATAGGACTTCTGTATAAGTTACTAAGTGATTTTACTCCGAGTCAACGTCTGTCTATTTTCCAGAAGGCAAATCAGATCCCTTCATGAGCCTGTTCTTTTTTGTTTGTTTTGTTTTGTTTTGTTTTTACCTTTAAAGCTCTAAAATGCAAAATCCCCGCCCTACCTCTCTTCAAAAAGCATTTATGAAGAGGTTTTATTATTTTATTCTGTCCCTGGCTCCCCTTCCCTATCCAGTTTTCTAGAGGGGAACATTGGCCGAGCATGTTAAACTTGGCCTCCGTAGATGAAGCGTTCTTGAAAGTGGACAGAATATTGGAATAGAGGTCTGTATTCTCTCTCTCTCTCTTTTTAAATTTCATTTATTCATGAGACACACACACACACACACACAGAGGCAGAGACACAGGCAGAGGGAGAAGCAGGCTCCACGCAGGGAGCCCGACATGGGACTCAATCCCGGGTCTCCAGGATCACGCCCTGGGCTGAAGGCAGGTGCTAAACTGCTGAGCCACCAGGGATCCCGAGGTCTGTATTCTTTTCAAAGTTTTCTGTGAACGTCAGGTGTGACAGAGGGCATAGACTGCAGGATAGGTGTCTTGTTCCAAGAGGACGGTGAAGAACGTGAACCTTGGTGTTGAACACATTTGCCCCACCTGTACCAGCTGTATATGACTTTGAGCAGACTAATCTCCTTCAGTTTGTCACCTTATCTGTGTCATTCATGAGTGTGATAAGATCCAATTCCTAGGGCTATTGAAGGAGTCGTGTGAGCTGATTCTGTGGTGTCTTTGGCATTGGTCCCTGTAAAAATGCTTCCTGAGCTTCAGCCACCAGTGTCCTTCCACTTTCTGTGTTGTCATAAAATACCCTTTGGTTGATCTAGCAAGGCATGCTCCTTGATCCTGGCTTGATTTCCCTAGACCTTCCCTGACTTTTTCATCTTCAGGGGCATTTTTGGCCTGAAGAATGTTCAGAGCCTTTACTCCAATCGACTTCAGGGTCAAGTTGAACTCTCCTGTTCCCTTTCCCTGCTGGAGAGAGCTACCACTCATTGAGCCCCCACTGTGATCCACATCTTTTACGTTTTATTTAATACCAGCAGCAGTCTAGGAGGTTGGTATCTTTGGCTTGCAGGGGTGAGGTAACCTGCTCAGAATCACACAGGGAGAGTCCGTTATGGGAACAGAGCCCCGAGGGCTGATCTCAGCCCACTGCTCTTCTGCCCTAAGTCTCTAGGAGGGTGCAAGTCCAGATTGGCCTGCCCTCTTCCCTCTGGCCAAGATCTGTCACCTGTCCATGTCTCCCAGTCACTATGCTGAGACTAAGATGAGGCTTAGATTTTCAGGGTCATTGGACCCTCCTCGCAGCATTTCTTCCTTACTCTCTTTCAGCATCTTTGCTTGGGACCAAATATCATTACCACCGTTACCTGTATAAAAATTGGAGTGACCCAGGTCCCAGTCTCCTGGCTGCAGCATCCATTAGCCTCTGTAAAGTGGAGACAATAATACTTATCCTGCAGGGGTGTTGTGAGGATGAAAAATCATAGTGTTTTAACTATGGACAGAGTGGTGAGCTCAGTCCCAGTGGCTTTTATCATTAACATTGTCTTCATTTCATTATCACCTTGTATTTGTTTAGGCTTTTATCATAATAGCTAACACACACTGAGCACTTTACATGTATTTACTCCTTTTACTGTTTCCTTGTGCCCACAAAGTAGATAGTGGTTAAGAGAATGGACTCTGGAGAAAAAAATGTCTGGTTCAAATTTGGCTGTGCTACCTGCTGGCTGTGAGACCTTGGGCAAGTTACTTAATCTCTCTGTGCCTTGGTTTCTTAACCTTTGAGGATAAAGGTAGTACTTTGCTGACATGAAGTTAGAGGTTCTTACAATGATTTTTTTTCCTTTGAAGGTGGCAAGAGACAATCTGATATTATACTCTGCACTTTGGTTCAGGTCCTTGGAGAGGCAGAGACCAAGATAGGACTAGACTTGCAAGAGATTTATTGGGGAAAGGGGTAAAAGGGGAGGGAGCTAGAGGAGACAGGGAGAGCTGTCAGGCTGCTGCCTCTGAAGGAGCACCAGAAGAAAGGAAGGGAGGAAGAGAGGGAGGGAGGGAAGGAGTGAAGGAAGGAGGTAGGGTGGGAAGATCTCTGACTGCCTTGCAGTTCTTTTTTTTTTTTTAATTTATTTATGATAGGCACACAGTGAGAGAGAGAGAGAGGCAGAGACATAGGCAGAGGGAGAAGCAGGCTCCATGCACCGGGAGCCCGACGTGGGATTCGATCCTGGGTCTCCAGGATTGCGCCCTGGGCCAAAGGCAGGCGCTAAACTGCTGCGCCACCCAGGGATCCCCTGCCTTGAAGTTCTGAGACATTTCTTTTGGGTTGGTGGGGACCCCAGGAGTCAAGGTTGCCTGTCAGAGGATCCCCATCTTGCAAGAATGGGTCTGTGTTCATGTTCCTAATGCATGGAGTCATTGATTGGTTGGGAACAGTTGGTGGGAAGTGTGGCCTCCATGTGAACAGGCTGGGGGCATTTGTCAGTTATACTCTGCCACGGGAGGCCTGAGAAGGTTAGGGGTGCTGGAGATCACACAGTGAGTTTGTGGCCAAGCTGGAATTCCTTGAAGCCTCTTTACTGGAAAGGCCAGATGGACCTCCTAGGGAATGCCATTTTCCTCAGGTGGCTGGCCAAGGTCTCCAGCTCAGAATTTTCCCTCTGGATTTCCCTCCTGGGCTTAGCAGGAAGCAGAGCAATTTTTGTTAGTGGTAGAGGCTCTCCCTGAAAGCTGGTGGGAGTGTGGGTGTTGCTAAATGGTTGTATCTGTCAGCTCTAACCATAGGCTTAATGGCAGCAGAGTGTGGTATAAAAGGACGTTGCTTCTGTTGGCTCCTAGTGGGAGCGTGGGTTGACTACTGGACACACATTCTGGGCACCCCATCCTCACTCCCCATGCTGAGCTTTGGAAGTCAGAGAGAAGAGGTGGGGTTGGGCTGCTTTGGGGGACAGCAGCTGGACCCCTGCCAGAGGTAGATGCCAGCGTACCTTTGAGGACTTGTCCGCAGAAGGTCTTAGGGGGGCTCTGGAGTCACGTTGATTTCTCATCTGGTAGGAGAGAAATGTTGAAGGGGATGGGAGAGGGGAAAGCCATAGCTTAGGCCCACTTTCCCCTCACTTGCTCAGAGTGCCCTGGAAGAAGATGTCTGTCCGGTGGGTTGTAGCCCCCTTCTGGCTTGGATCTTCTGGGAGGGGAGATCCCTTCTGAGGTCCCTGTAGTGGGCGCTGTTGACACCCCTCCACCAGCTGCTCCCTTCTCCAAGGAATTGCCCTTGGCCTCAGGAGCCTGGGAGGTTAGAACCTCCGTCCCTCTCCTCCCCCCTAGCTCACAGGCAATAACTGAAGGATGAGGGACACCCTGGATATACACCGGCAGATGTGAAGGCTTATGTTCGCACTAAACCTGCACACAGTTGTTCGAAGCAGCTCTATTCATGATTCCCCAAACCTGGAAATAGCCCAGATGTCCTTTGATAGCTGGATGGACACACAGGCCATGGATACCAGTCCACGCGGTGGGATGCTGCTTGGCCAATAAAGAGAAAGTACTACTAATGTGTGCGGTCACTTGGGTGAATCTCAAAGGCATTATGTTGAGTGAAAAAGCCAGTCTTAAAAAATTATCATCCAACTGGAGCTATGGAGAACAGACAGGGTGGTTGTCAGGGGTGAGGGATGAGGGGGGTGTGCCAAAGGGATAGCATGCAGGAGGTTTTTTGTTTTTGTTTTTTGTTTTTTGTTTTTTTTTTGGTGTGGAAAGTAGTGGTGTCCAGGAAACCTGGGTGGCTCAGTGGTTGAGTGTCTGCCTTTGGTTCAGGTCATGATCCCAAGGTTCTGGGATCAAGTCCCGCATCAGGCTCCCCACAGGGAGCCTGATTCTCTCTCTGCCTATGTCTCTGCCTTTCTCTCTCTGTCTCTCATGAATAAATACATAAAATCTTAAAAAAAAAAAGAAAGTAGTGGTGCCCACAAGAATCTAGAATCACAAGAATGTGAGGGTTTTTTTTTTTTTTTTAGAGGGGGAGGGAGAGAGGCAGAGGGAAAGAGAGAGAGAGAAAGATCATGACCTGAGCTGAAATCAAGAGTTGGATGCTTAACTGACTGAGCCACCCAGGTGCCCCTATACTTGTGTTAAATTCACAGAACTGTGTACCAGAAAGAATCAATTTTAGGGTAAGGTAATTGTTTTCAAAAGTTCACACACACCTATATCTCTGCTTCAGGGAGCCCCTCTACTTTGAACAGAATGGAGCAGCCGAAGGGGGTCGATTGGACGGTCATCATCCTGACATGCCAGTACAAGGATAGTGTCCATGTCTTCCAGAGAGGTAGGGGACCCTCCCTTCCCACTTTGCCTCTGATGTAGAATCCCCATCAGATACTGGTCTGTACCCTTACAGCCCATGAGCCAGGAAGACCTAGGTTCAAGCCCAGATTCTGCTTCTTTCTAGCCATGTGACCTCAATATACATCATGTCATTTCATTAAGACTCAGTTTTTTCATCTGTTAAATGGGACTGGTTGTACTTACCTCATAGAGTTGGGTGAAGATCTAATGAGCTTACTCCAAGAAAAGCTAACTAAGTGTTTACTTTGGCAGCACATATGCTGAAATTGGAGCCACACAGAGAAGTTAGCATGGCTTCTCTGCAAGGATGACATGCACATTTGTGAAGCATTCTATATTTTTTCACAAATACTGAATCATTATGTTGTGCAGTGGAAACTAATATAATGTTACATGCCAATTATACCTCAATTAAAAAGAAGCTCCTAAGTCAAAGAAGAGAAAGTAATGACTATCAGTAGATTTGCTCTAGATGCTTTGGAACAGGGTGGGGAGGTTGGGGGCCAGTCCCAGCTTGTGTTCTGACCATAGAGCTGGAAGTGCGACAGAAGCGGGAGCAGATCCCGGCCAGGACACTGTTACTGGCTGTGGAGGACCCTGAGACGCGTGTGGGCAGCGGAGGAGCCACCCTCAATGCCCTGCTGGTGGCTGCTGAACACCTGAGTGCCCGGGCAGGCTTCACCGTGAGTGCTCATGACGTGTTATCCTCTGCCACAGGTCCTGGTCCAAACAGGGATGGGGGCTCAAGACAGATTGTTTCCAGGGCCACCACCAGCTCTTTGGGCTCCATCACCTGGCCAGTTCAGCATTTGGTACCAATTTCTGTACCCATAGATTGGACAGACTCATCAGGTGGGGTAGAAGTCAGGGCTGGACTTTCTAGTGCTTTTAGAACATCAGAGCCAGTACGTCAGAATTAGGCTTTCTGGCTTCTCTTGAAAACTTCTGTCTTACTATCCTGGCCTCTCCTTCCCCCATGACAACTGTTTGCTGGAATGAGGGTATAACTGCCCCTTTGTGTGGGGCACAGGGGTCAGTGTTCCCAGTGGGCCAGGTCTCCCCAACACACAGCCCCTTCGCTCAGTCACCTTGTCCTCATGGCACCCTGGGTGGTCACAGGAATGGACACACTCTGGTGATGGATGTGGCACTGGCAGGGAAGGACAGCACTGTGTGGTTGCCATGGAGCTGACTTACCGTGAGTCACCCAGCTAGCCTCACATTCTTGCCTATAGCTTCCCCTGAAAAACAGGGACAGAGGAGTGTCCCAGGTGGAGGGCCAGTAGGCTCTTTTATTGAGGAGGGGGCAGAGCTGCCCCTTGCCTGCCTGTGGCCATTGGTTCTGACCTTGTCTTTTCTTCCTTTGGTACCTGAGTGGATTTGTGTTGGGGTCTCTCCCTGGACAAGAGGACAATGTCCTTGGGTGCCATCTGCCCAGGATTCTGTCAACAGGGCTCTTCCACTTTTGACAGGTGGTGACATCTGATGTCCTGCACTCTGCCCGGATCCTTATCCTGCACATGGTTAGTAGACGGCCACGTATGTCTTCAGGGGCCATGCAGAAGGCTGAAACCATTGATCCTTGGGGTTAGATAGGTCTTCTATCTTCATGTTTGTGCAAGATGCTCATTGTGCAACTCCGGAAGAATCAGAATCAGAATCGATCCAAGGGTCTAGAAATAGGGAGCAGGCTGTATATATGCAGCGTATCCCCCTGGCGGAGTGTAGACAGTGATTTAAAAGTCCAGCTAAGGGGATCCCTGGGTGGCTCAGTGGTTTCGCGCCTGCTTTTGGCCTGGGGCACAATCCTGGAGTCCTGGGATCGAGTCCCGCGTCGGGCTTCTGGCATGGAGCCTGCTTCTCCCTGTGTCTCTGCCTCTCTCTCTCTCTCTCTCTCTTTATGTCTATCATAAATAAATAAAAATAAATTAAAAAAAAAGTCCAGCTAACTCGGATCCCTGGGTGGCTCAGCGGTTTGGTGCCTGCCTTCGGCCCAGGGCGTAATCCTGGAGCCCCGGGATTGAGTCCCGCGTCAGGCTCCCTCCATGGAGCTGCTTCTCCCTCTGCCTGTGTCTCTGCCTCTCTCTCTCTCTCTCTGTCTATCATGAATAAATAAATAAAATCCTAAAAAAAAAAGTCCAACTAACTATGCATTGACCTGGAAAGAGACTTAACAGCTCTGTGACGTTGGACAAGTCACTTGGTCCTTTCTTTCTAAAATTTTTTTTTTAATTTTATTTACGATAGTCATACAGAGAGAGAGAGAGGCAGAGACACAGGCAGAGGGAGAAGCAGGCTCCATGCACCGGGAGCCCGACATGGGATTCGATCCCGGGTCTCCAGGATCGCGCCCTGGGCCAAAGGCAGGCGCCAAACCGCTGCGCCACCCAGGGATCCCCCCTTTCTTTCTAGGTATTAGTTTCATCATCTGTAAAATGAGGTTGGCAAAAGTTTCTACTTCATGGGGAAGTGCTGAGACGATCCACGGTAAATGCTTAAACGGGGCCTGGCCTGGCTCACTCTGAACATTCAGGGAATGTTTTCACTGTTTAGTGGGAAAAGCCAGCCACACAAGTTTATATACATTGATATCAGCTTTTTAATTGGAAACTTTTTGCTAAACTTTCTTCAGCCATTCTTTTTGTTTGTTTAGATTTTTATTTTATTTTTTTAAAGATTCCATTTATTTATTCATGAGAGACACAGAGAGAGGCAGAGACACAGGCAGAGGGAGAAGCAGGCTCCATGCAGGGAACCAGATGCAGGACTCAATTCCAGGACCCCAGGATCATGCCCTGGGCAAAAGGCAGATGCTCAACCACTGAGCCACCCAGGCGGCTGTCTGTCTATCTATCTATCTATCTATCTATCTATCTATCTATCTATTTCTTATTTATTTAAAGATTTTATTTATTTGTTCCTGAGAGACACACAAAGAGGCAGAGACATAGGCAGAGGGAGAAGCAGGCTCTCTATGGGGAGTCTGATGCGGGACTCAATCCCAGGACCCTGGAGTCACAATCTGAGCTACAGGCAGATGCTCAACCACTGAGACACCCAGGTGCCCCGGCTGTATGTTTTATAAAGAAACTTATATTGGAACAAGGCAAAACCTGTTATTTTACATATTCCCTAAGGCTGGTTTTGACCTACAATTACCAAGTTGAGTATAACAGAGACTATATATGGCCCCCTAGCCCAAAATACTGTCTGTCCCTTTAAGATCAGTGATTCAGAACAGGAAGTCCATAACTAGGACTACATATTATGGTGTCTCCTGATCTGACTGGGGCCCCCAAATGTGGGGTGACCTGATTGAGTGGAAGCTGGAGGTGCAGACGGTGAAAGAATTCACTTGAGGTAGAACAAACAAGATAGAAGTTTACTGAATATACCCCAAGGGAGCAGTGGGATATTGCGCACTGAGCCACCCAGGTGTCTCTAAGATTTATTTATTTATTTTAGAGAGAAGGAGAATGCACATACACACTACACACACACATGATCTAGGGAAAGGGCAGAGGGAGAGAATCTTAAGCAGATTCCCTGCTAAGCGTGGAGCCTGATGGGGGCTTGATTTCATGATCCTGAGATCATGACCTGAGCCAAAATCAAGAGTCAGTCACTGAACCACTTAACCAACTGAGCTACTCAGGTGCCCCTTGTTTAGATTTTAAGAAAAAGTAATCTCTATACCCAACAGGGGGCTGAAACTTACACCTCGAGATCAAGAGTCCCATGCTCTACCAACTGAGCCAACCAGATGCCCTTTTCTTTGGAATTTTGGTTAAGATGAGGATAGATCCATGACATGCAAGATATAATATGGAAAGAAGCCTTTGCAAACTTTGCCCAGATTCCTCCAGTGATGATATTTTTGAGAACTATAGTATAACCACAGCTAGGATATTGAAATTGATTTAATTCCCAATCTTTTCCCCTAGTTTTACTTGTGTGAGTGTATGTGTGTGTGTTAAGTTCTTTTGTCTCCATCTTCTCATAATCTCATTAAAAAATTAAAGGAAAACCTGCAAGGATATAGCTCAAAATGAAGGCAATGGCTTTTATCCCTGAGGAATTGTTTTCTTCTTGCAGATCTGCATTTTCTAATTTTTCACCGTAATCACATAGTCGAAAACATTATAAGAGAAAACACATTTTGTTTTATTTTAAGATTTTAAGTAATCTCTATACCCAAAGTGGGGCTTGAACTCCACACACACGCATAATCCCAAGATCGAGTCGAATGCTCCACTGACTGAGCCAGCCAGGCCCTCCAAGAAAACACATTTAAAAAGTCTAGCTTGATGGCTTCTTGCCTTTGCACAGCTGTTCCCAGGCTCTCTAACCCAAGGGTTCTTTCTCCTGTCCCTGCTCCCTCCCTAGGGACGAGATTTCCCTTTGGATGACTGTGGCAGGGCCTTCACCTGCCTCCCTGTGGAGAACCCCCAGGCTCCAGTGGAGGCTGTCGTCTGCAACCTGGACTGCTTGCTGGACATCATGAGTCATCGGGTAAGGCTGGTGGTGACCATGGGGCCTCATGGCAGAGAGAACCACACCTTTCCTACTGCATCACCAGCTATGTAGTCTGTGTTGGTGCAGACAGAAGGCACCAGGAAGAACGGCTTCGGAGGTACCTGGAGTTAGAGCTTCAGGAAGTTCATCTTGGCCATGCCGGTGGGAAGGTGTGGTCCTGAGAGTAGAGGGAAGGACCAGCCTTGGCACCACAGGGCAGGAGAGGCCCCATTACCTCAGCAGCCAGAGTCCTGGACAGGATGGCCACTGGAGTGCACACAACAAGTCAAGACGGGGTTGTGTGGGAGCAGAGGGAGGGCTGGGCCAGGCCACCAGCGGCATTCTCTCTCTCCTCCACAGCTGGGCCCGGGCTCCCCACCAGGTGTATGGGTTTGCAGCACCGACATGCTGCTCTCTGTTCCTCTGGACCCAGGTGAGCCTGAGAAGGCTTGGGACTGCCTACCCCAGCCACAGGCAGGCACCTGTCTTCCTTGGTCTCCGGGCCTGGCCTGCTGCCCTGCTCAGAAGGGAAGCTGTAGGCTGTGGAGCCTGAAGCCCAGACCCAGAGGCAGGGCTTCCCTTCCGCAACTGGGTTCTGTCTGCCTGGCTATTGAATGGAGACCCGTAGCCCTGCCCCTTCGGCCCTGCCCGGCTCTGTGGAAGAATTTTGGGAGGGGAGGTGTTGTCCTTCTCCCAAACGAATCTCCATTTGGCTTTGAAAACCATATTCCCTTTAGAGGTGTCTGGATGCCACTTGCCCTGAGCTCAACCCCCTTGCCTTGGGTTGGAGCCCTCAGGGAACCTCCTCACTGCCTCAATCACAGGGA